TTTATCGATCGGTAAAAATTGAAAAATAACCGGCGTCAACTGATAATCAACGTAAATTGAAAAATGACGCATAACAAATTCACTGGTAGTCATATTTTTTCAGAAACATTTTTTATTACATTTAAACACTTGCAATTAGAACAATAATAATATATGCCATAAGCATGATGAAAATCATAACCTGAAAACTATTTTATCGAAGCTAGATAATTAAAAAAATCTGACTTATCTATCGTACACATTCTCGATTTTAAAAATGTAAAATTTCGTTATTTTGTAGTTGATTTCATTTACAAACACTTTTTTAAAATTTTCTAATCATCATCTGGAATTTCAACAGAATCAATTTGTTTACTTGGTTGGCTTAATTTCATGCTTTTTAACTGGTTTGTTAATTGATTGATCTCCTACGTATTGATTGCTTTACTCGTATACATGTGATTAGGATGTTTTGATTCGACAGGCTTCGGTTTGTACTTATTTGCTTTTGCAAATTCTTGATAAATTTCATTTTTCCGGTAAAATAATGATCCAATAATTAATTTTATCATGAATAACTTCTGCAATAGGTCGTTTATCGGGATCAGAATCCATGCAATGTTTAGCCAATTCAACATAACATTTAGGGATTCCCGGTTCAAATTCAGGACGTAGTCCAAAGCAAATCTTTACTGCAAGTTCTTTATCAAATTTATAGCCATCAAAAGGTCTTTGTCCAGTAGAAAATTCCCACATAATAACACCTAATCCGTAAATATCTGCAGCATGTGTGAATGGTTTTCCTTGTAAGACTTCAGGACTAACATATGGCAATACACCATAAATCTCACCAGTTTTCTCTTTTTTTTTCTAGCTAAGCCTAAATTAGAAACATAGGATGATACTATGTAACTATGAACATTATCACCTTTTAAAATTTTTTCACTATGAAGATCCGAATGAATCAATTCCACATGGAATTTTTTTAAATTGTTCAAAATATCTAAAAGTACCTCGAATTTTTGTTCCCATTTTAAATCTTCTTTTAAGTAACAGTGAAGATGATCTACGTTTCTATTATGTTGAAATACTATCATATATTCGTTTATTTTAGGGTTCAGAGTTAATCCATATACACTTGACGTTAAATATTTCTCAATGTGATTTTCAAATTCTTTCAGAGTTATAGTCTTGAGAGTAACAAAACTAGCTGACTCATTCATACCATTATCATTACCACTATCCCCAAAACTAGGTGGCCCATGCATACCACTATCATTATCACTATCCCCAAAACTACGATAAGATCTATCATCATCATTATCATCATCATCCAACAATGTTGCTTTGTATACAGTGATAAATCCATCTTTTCTTATAATTATTATATTGGTTAATCTATTGAAAGGAATCCATTCAGTATTAGATTTAATTTGAATTTCTTTAAGTTTCTCCAATTTCTCAAACTGTTGTTTAATTTCATTTGAATTTATCCAATTATTAATTTTATCATGAATGCTTTCTACAGTAGGTCGTTTATCAGGATCAGAATCCATGCATTGTTTGACCAATTCTTCATAACATTTAGGTGTTCCTGATGTAAATTAAGGACGCAATCCTTTAAATATTTCAAATAATAGATTAAGATCAACCGGTCTCCCATTATATGGTCTTGTCAATTCCCACATAATAACGCCTAATCCATAAACACCTGCAGCTTGTTTGAATTGTTTTCCTTGTAAGAATTCAGGACTAACATATGATATTACACAATAAATCTCATTAGCTTTCTCATTTTCTTTTTTTAGCTAAGCTTAAATCAGAAACATAAGATGATACTTTGTTACCATCAATGCTATCACCCTGTAAAATATTTCCACTATGAAAATCTAAATGTGTCAATTCCACATTAAGAATTTGGTTTAAATTAATCATGATATCTAAAAGCATCCTTAATCTTTTTTCCCACTCTAAACCTTGAAAATTTTCTAAGTAATTTTTAAGTAATTATGAAGACAACCATTTTTAGCATAACGAAATAATATCATATATTCATCAGTTTCTGGTTTCAGAGTCAATCCATGTACATCAAACATAGCATATTTCTTACTTAATTTCATGAGATTTTCAAATCCTTCCGGAGTTATAGTCTTGAGAGTAACAAAGTATCATCTTATGTTTCTGATTTAAGCTTAGCTAAAAAAAGAAAATGAGAAAGCTAATGAGATTTATTGTGTAATATCATATGTTAGTCCTGAATTCTTACAAGGAAAACAATTCAAACAAGCTGCAGGTGTTTATGGATTAGGCGTTATTATGTGGGAATTGACAAGACCATATAATGGGAGACCGGTTGATCTTAATCTATTATTTGAAATATTTAAAGGATTGCGTCCTTAATTTACATCAGGAACACCTAAATGTTATGAAGAATTGGTCAAACAATGCATGGATTCTGATCCTGATAAACGACCTACTGTAGAAAGCATTCATGATAAAATTAATAATTGGATAAATTCAAATGAAATTAAACAACAGTTTGAGAAATTGGAGAAACTTAAAGAAATTCAAATTAAATCTAATACTGAATGGATTCCTTTCAATAGATTAACCAATATAATAATTATAAGAAAAGATGGATTTATCACTGTATACAAAGCAACATTGTTGGATGATGATGATAATGATGATGATAGATCTTATCGTAGTTTTGGGGATAGTGATAATGATAGTGGTATGCATGGGCCACCTAGTTTTGGGGATAGTGGTAATGATAATGGTATGAATGAGTCAGCTAGTTTTGTTACTCTCAAGACTATAACTCTGAAAGAATTTGAAAATCACATTGAGAAATATTTAACGTCAAGTGTATATGGATTAACTCTGAACCCTAAAATAAACGAATATATGATAGTATTTCAACATAATAGAAACGTAGATCATCTTCACTGTTACTTAAAAGAAGATTTAAAATGGGAACAAAAATTCGAGGTACTTTTAGATATTTTGAACAATTTAAAAAAATTCCATGTGGAATTGATTCATTCGGATCTTCATAGTGAAAAAATTTTAAAAGGTGATAATGTTCATAGTTACATAGTATCATCCTATGTTTCTAATTTAGGCTTAGCTAGAAAAAAAAAGAGAAAACTGGTGAGATTTATGGTGTATTGCCATATGTTAGTCCTGAAGTCTTACAAGGAAAACCATTCACACATGCTGCAGATATTTACGGATTAGGTGTTATTATGTGGGAATTTTCTACTGGACAAAGACCTTTTGATGGCTATAAATTTGATAAAGAACTTGCAGTAAAGATTTGCTTTGGACTACGTCCTGAATTTGAACCGGGAATCCCTAAATGTTATGTTGAATTGGCTAAACATTGCATGGATTCTGATCCCGATAAACGACCTATTGCAGAAGTTATTCATGATAAAATTAATTATTGGATCATTATTTTACCGGAAAAATGAAATTTATCAAGAATTTGCAAAAGCAAATAAGTACAAACCGAAGCCTGTCGAATCAAAACATCCTAATCACATGTATACGAGTAAAGCAATCAATACGTAGGAGATCAATCAATTAACAAACCAGTTAAAAAGCATGAAATTAAGCCAACCAAGTAAACAAATTGATTCTGTTGAAATTCCAGATGATGATTAGAAAATTTTAAAAAAGTGTTTGTAAATGAAATCAACTACAAAATAACGAAATTTTACATTTTTAAAATCGAGAATGTGTACGATAGATAAGTCAGATTTTTTTAATTATCTAGCTTCGATAAAATAGTTTTCAGGTTATGATTTTCATCATGCTTATGGCATATATTATTATTGTTCTAATTGCAAGTGTTTAAATGTAATAAAAAATGTTTCTGAAAAAATATGACTACCAGTGAATTTGTTATGCGTCATTTTTCAATTTACGTTGATTATCAGTTGACGCCGGTTATTTTTCAATTTTTACCGATCGATAAA